TATAAGTTCCAACCTGGTTGATGAACACACGTTGGTTTCGGTGTTCATGCAGGGTCTTGCGGATGGTCCCGTCAAGACTCACCTGTTCCGACTTGAACTAGGTTCACTAGAAAAAGCAAATTCCACTGCGGAACAGGAAGACTTCAGTCTGAGACAGGCTCACGCCAGCTCGACATTATATCGTCCACCGAGACGATATGACAGCGGAAGTCCAGAGCCGATGGAACTCTGTTATGTAGAGAGTGAGAAGGCTCGCTCTACAGACTACAAGAAGTTGCAGAAATGCAACAGATGTCAGAAGAAAGGACACTACGCTTACGAGTGTAGTGCCCCTCGTCCAGTGTCTCGCAACACTGAGCGTAGTGACCGTCCACTCATGAGAAAGGGGCAGGGAAGCGGGTCCGCTGTTGGTGCAAAGACGCAACAACGTGATGGACCGTCAAAAAACGGACAGGATAAGTAGGTGCGGAGCACCCTACTGGTCCAGCAACGTCAAGAGAATTTGTAGGCCTCTTGATGAAGGTTGCTCCCAACACACAAACATTGTGCGTTGCTGCTCTAGGTAATGAGATTCCACTCATTACCTTGAAACTCGAAGTGGCGAATAAGTTGTCCCTTCGAGCTCTAGTCGATTGTGGGGCGTCCAACTATTTTGTGCGACGCCAATCGCTAGAAGATGGTCACTTTAAATTCAGTGAATGTGACACACCTCCTACGAGGATGACGGTACGTCTTGCGACAGGCGCATCCGTAACCGTCATGAAGCGTATAGTGAAGATTCACTATACGCTAGAAGATACCCAATATGACGATGACTTTATCGTATTGGATTTGGATGACAAGTTTGATGTCATCCTTGGAATACCGTGGCTCAGAAGGTACGAACCACGGGTAAACTGGCAACATCGAACAGTAACGATGCCTGCCGCTTGTTCATCAGATGGCCATCTGATGAACGTTTTGGAGCGTCCACAAGCGTGTGGATGTACTACGAGTGAGTGCGATGGCCTCACTTGTGGTACGGTCGTTAGTACGACTGCACAAAACCTTAGTGTAACAAACAGTTACACGTCGGAGCAAAGTTCCGGCGGCTGTGAAGAAACACAGGCTGCGCCGAAGGTCCACCACTCGAATAAGTCGAGTGGACCGGGACAAAGATGTATCCCTAGCGGGGAACATCTAGAAGAGAAACCATCAATCGCTCAGGTTAAGCGAAACGATAATCCTAGATCGACTGGAGAGTCTTTCGTAGAGGATCTCGCTGTGGTTGCGCAACCACAGCTAGAGAAAGTTAAGGGAATAAGTTCCAAGATTACAAATACGGCGGAAATAAGTTCCCCGAAACCCGCGGGAGTAAGTCCCCGGGAAGACGAAGGAATAAGTCCTTCGAAGCCTGAGGGAATAAGTCCCCAGGAAATGACAGAGACATTGAATGTCATAGTCAATAACGGATCATGTGTAGGCGCTTATACACTTGATCTGATTGCGCCTCCGAAGTTAACTTCGGAGATCACTCAGTTGCCAACGCTCGAACATAAAAGATTCTTGCGTGATCTGCGTAGTGGCAAAGTCAAGCAGATCTGCATACTCGTCGCTGAAGACGAGTATGTAACCGACATAAGGTCAGCAACAGTGTTTACTGAGAACGAGAGAGTTCTCAGTAGTTCATCTATGGACGAGAGTGTCCTAGATGAAAAGACACGAATTGAGCGATATGAGTCCCAATCATGGGAATCGCTCAAGAAAAATCCTCTCTATGAAGATTTGGTTGAATTCAAGGATGTATTCCCTGAAACTGTTCCGTGCGAATTACCGAAGGATAAAGGTATTCGACACGAGGTCGAGCTTAAACCAGGCTCGAAGTACTGTGTCATGAAGCAGTGGCCACTGCCTCGTGAACAAGTACTTGCGATCGACAAGTTCTTTGCCGATCGTTTAGCTGCGGGCCATGTGAGGGAATCAACTTCCCCACATAGCTCTCCGACCTTCTGTGTGCGAAAAGCAACAGGAGGGTTGCGGATAGTGCATGCATTCAACAAGTTGAATGCTGAAACGGAACCGGCCCAGACGCCGATACCGAGAAAGGACGTAATCATTGATGGTATGTCAAAGAGTACCATCTTTTCGTCCATGGATTTGATGAATGGCTTCTATCAAATCCTTATGCGAGAACGGGATATACCCTATACCGCAGTTAGCACGCCTAGCGGCATGCTCTGGTAATGTCTAGTAATGCCACAAGGGCTTAGTAATGCCCCTGCCACGTTCAACAGATGTGATACACATCTGTTGAGACCAGTACGAGAATTCGCACCGAGTTATTTCGATGACGTATTCATCCATAGTCGGGCTATGGATGGAAAGTCGGATGTTGAGGTTCACAGGTACCACGTCCGACAGGTTCTTACAATCATGCGAAAGCATCAATCGTATACCAATCTCAAAAAGTGTATATTTGCAGGAAGCGAAATACCACTTCTTGGGTGCATCGTTGGTAAGAACGGTGTACGTCCAGATCCCGAAAAGATCAAGACGATCACCGACGAGCCTGTGCCAGTTGATGTCAAAGGTCTTCGAAAATTCCTTGGGCTAGTGGCGTATTTGCACTAGTATTCACGCAATTACGCCGAGATGACTGTACACCTCTCTCGTTTGTTGAAAAAGAACGAGAGGTGGTTATGGAACGCTGAGTGTCAACGCTCCTTTGATGGTATCAAGCAGAGCTTGATACAATCCCCAGTCCTAGCAATAGCCGATCAGGACAGGCCATTTCATGTGGTCTGTGATGCCAGCGATTTTGCAATCGGCTGTGCATTAATGCAGTGCGATCTTGAAGGCAGTGAACGCGTCGTCTGCTATCAGTCGCGTCAGCTGCAACCAGCTGAGCAGAACTATCCAGTGCATGACAAGGAACTCCTTGCCAGGAAGTCTGCACTCGCGAAGTTCAGAGTCTATCTATTAGGAGATAGACCCTTCATTGTTTACACTGACCATGCGTCCTTACGCACGGCAGTGAACAGCCCGCACCTTTCACAACGAATGGCGCGGTGGTTGTCATTCTTTGCAGAATACAACTTTACGGTCGAGTACAAACCAGGACGACTTAATGTCGTCGCTGATGCGCTCTCACGTCGGCCCAACTTTGAACCAGTCGTGAAACCCAACAGTGGGACAGTCACTGTTGCGGTTATGACGTCCACCATACCATCTTTAACGTTGCATGATGATGTAAGGCGGGCGTATGCCCAATATGGTGAGATTGTGAAGTTGTTGACACATCTCTCACAACCAACTCGAGCATCGTTGAAACGATAACTGTCTGCGTATCGATCTGCATCAGATCGATACACTACTCGCAACGGTTTACTGTATTACAGCCGTTGACTGGTGACACACCACGTGTTGTCATTCCAGATGATACAGATCTGCGTTTGCGGATCATGTTCGAGCATCACGATACTCGTATAGGAGGATATCGTGGCCGGGAGAAGACAAATCTCACGGTGAGTCGAGACTTTTACTGGCCCCGCCAGTATCAGTTTGTGCGAAAGTATGTTCGCGCATGCGAAGTCTGTCAACGAGTAGAGTCAAGTCCTTCACTGCGTGCACCTTTACAGCCTCTACCGGTTCCGGCTGAGTGCTGGGAATCCATCTCAATGGATTTTGTCTTCGGGTCACCCAAAGACGCACGCGGGAATACGGGTATTCTTGTATTTGTTGACAGATTCAGCAAAATGGTATACCTCGTGGCTGTACCAGAGTCAATCACGGCAAGTGGCTGCGCTTGTGTCTTTATTGAGGCCATCTTTCGACTTCATGGGTTGTCCCGTGAACTCGTATCAGACAGAGATCCACGATTCACTGCTGATTTCTGGCGTTCCGTGTTCAAATCACTCGGAACGCGCACGAAGATGTCTACATCTGATCATCCAGAGTCAGATGGTCAGACGAAACGTGCCAATCGTGTCCTCGAAGAGATACTTCGAGGTTACGTACACTCCTTTAAGTGTTGGAGTGAGTTTTTGCCAATGGTAGAGTTTGCCGTTAACAACTCGGTGCATGCGTCCACGACACATACACCGTTTTACGTGAATGGCTTGCGCCATCCTCGTGTACCCACCTTACTAGAGTGTAACTTGGGTTTAAGGGGGGGGGACTCGCGCGAGCAAAAACCGATTTGGTTCACGCTCATCACTCTCTGACGATGAGGTCACTGCGTTTGATGCCGATATCGATAACATCGATATCGAAGAAGATGATGCCAGTGAGAGTGCGGAAGCCCTCACTGAAGAAGATGATGCCAGTGAGAGTGCGGAAGCCCTCACTGAAGAAAAGGTTGATGTTGCTGCAGTGCGCTCACAGCGCACTGAAGCTAATGAGTCATCAGATGAGTTCATACTGGCTCGTGAAAAGGTAGTCCGTTTTGTGCAAGACTCCATCGCCGAAGCGGTGGATAAGCAAAAGCAAAACGCTGATAAGAATGGAAGGGCAACCACTTTTTTATTTAATAAAGGTGACTTAGTCCTACTGTCTACGGTTAATCTACCAAAGCATGTAGTGACTAACTTGGGTGGAAGTAAACTACTACCCAAGTACATCGGCCCATTTCGGGTATTGCACCGCCTAGGCAATGCATACACGATCGAGTTACCACGTAAGATGCGAACGCATCCCACGTTTTACGTTGGTCGGCTTAAGCCGTACCATCAGTACGCTGCTTCTTCCGATGAAGAACGCCCTTGCGCTCAAGCATCTCGCAGAGAGCCTTGTGCTCCCGATGGTGGGCATCAACAAGAGTCTGAAGAGCAGCTATCTCATCCCAAGACCGATCAGCAATCCCACGAGCTACCCTTAGCTCGTCACGAAGAGAAGTTAGAGCTCTCTCGTTCTCAAGCTGAGCAAAGGCAAACTCAGCTCGATGCTTCGAGGCAGTGTCCGCCATTTGGAGACGCCTATTCCGCTCATGTTCGAGATCGCCGCGTAACCCTTGCGTTACGCGATCAAAGAATCTCTCGGGAACACACGCTTCCCCACGATTGTGTGGAGAGTGTTTCCTCCTCCTCCACCTCCATTAGAGGACTCTCGCGGTGGCCAGCGCTATCTAGTTGAGCAGCTGTTGAACCACCGCGACGTGAACGGACGTCGGACGAGTTATCTCGTCCGGTGGCGCGACTATCCCCCGTCCTGGGATACTTGGGAGCCCGGCTCCCAACTGATGATCGACGTACTGGGTCTGGTTCAGCAGTACGACGCGGCACATCCTGTGCCGCAGAAGGACCGCCGGAGAAAGTCTTCCCGGCACGGTCGTAAAAGGATTTCAGGTTGTCAATCCCTTCGTACACCTCAGTAGAGATACGTACACGCCACCACGGGCTAGTAGGGAGGTAAGCCTCCTTAGGTGCTCGTGCAGAGTTGTTCACACAACATGGGCTCGAGTCTTCCCAGAAGAGAAAGGGTAATCCTTTCTCCCTTGACAGACGATGCAGCTTGTAGCGTGCATCTGTCGGGGTTCGCTTTTCAAACTTATCACGAGCTTTGATAAGTTTGTCGTTCCAAACATCACGACCTACATCCTCAAGATTATGAATGTAGGCGTTCCACGCTTGAAGCAGCGAGGGACCGTCACGTTTGTGATTCCCACTGTACCATCGATGTCTGAAGGAAGCATCGATGAAGATCGTTTTCAGCGCGATAGTTTTTCGCAATGGGGTCAAGGTGATGGATCCTTAAAGCATCGAACAGTCGTGTTCGATAGCGATCACTTGTCGTCGCCGAAAAGTGATCCATGACTGATTTTGGAGTCATCCATGCTTTCTTCTCGGGAGCGAGACGCAACACACTGCGGTCCCGCTCTTCTTGCGATGTGCCGACAGAAGGACTGGCACCTCGTTGCGAAGTGGTGTCCATAGGAGAACCGACACCACTGTTAGCGCCCGAGTCTCGCGACCTCGAGCGCCTTCGCTTCGGCGATGGTTCATCTGATTCATCAGATGAACCAAAGATGCTACGACGCATAGCATCATCCATGCCACGCTTGGCAGGCGGCTTGGATTCGATCGCCGTAGATACAGATCCGTCTTCCGTATCAGGAGAGCATGAGACTCCGAGCTCATACTCTGTGAAGACATGAGTGTCTTCATGACGAGCGCCTGCATCACCAGGTGATACAGGCTGAGACGCTTAAGTAACCGATGACACATCGGTTGCAGCGGTTTCTGCTTCGGCGTCCGCACAGAGACGTGCTGACGCGCTCTCGGCGGCCTTGCTCGCACACCGCATGGACTGTTTAACCATGCGATGAAACCGATGGACTGTGGACTCGGACCAACAAGTGCAAACCCTGTCCCAAATGATTTGGGACGAGTATCCATTTAGTCAATCAGTCACTAAAGTGACTGATGGTTAAGGGGGGGGGGTGATGTAACGGGGTGAATCGTTACATAACAATTTACAAGAAATTGTTAATATAATATAACTACAAGAGTTAGATTCTCAGAATATTGTCATAAGGACAAATACTCTGCAGCACTGACGGGTAATTCCTAATTGGTTGATATAGGCCATTATATCAACCAACGAAGACGCGCCACGACAGACGCACGCAATGAGTGGTGAGCAGATAATTGATATACACATTTGCATTCAGACATAGTTAGATGAGGAGAAATCGTGATTTATTAACAGACATTAACTATTATAAATACAGTTCTGCTTTTTACTTTAACCAAGTACTCGCTTCTTCTTACCGTCTTCCTCTGCACGTACCAGTGTACGTGAAGTTCCGAGGCACCGCCTTATTCTGTCATCAGAATAAGTAGCTTGTACTGTCATCAGTACAAGCTTGAGGGTGCCCCGTTACACTGGTTCCTTTAACAGCTCAATCTATATAATCCGGGAGGGAATTATATAACAACTGTCGGCGGCTAGAATTATGTGGCGGTCACAAGAAGACACTAGAATATATTTTTGGACATGTTCGATGGCCCGGGCTGGTGAAGGGGTGGTACTGACAGCATGGATTGGGCTCTACGTGCGGCCGAATGGAAATAGTCGATATGTGGGGCACTGCATGGCTTGGATGCCACCACCTTTTTCTACAACACTATTGCACCGGGCATAGCGCGCCTTTGGCGATACGGTAAGGCGTACATTGTACGGTAAAGCGTATCTGGTGGATCATGTGCTTCGTTAATATATCGACCCTTTGGATTCAGCGCAATCGGGTTTTACACGAAATCAACAACCTTTCTCCGAGGGAGTGTTTAAGAGTTTTTATCAAACGGCCTTCGTCAATTGCGAGCTTTATCAGCACGAGAGAGTCTAAACGCAACAGGCTGAAATTCAGGACATCCGGATAGGGCAGTGCGTCGAGATATTCGATACCACGATTGCGTCTTTCGCAGCACTCTATCATGTGGTAAGCCACGTACAATTACCGGGACATTCGACATCGGTGTTGCTAATCTAGCCTAGGACGTTAAAGAAGTCTTGTTCACACAAATACCATGCAATAGGCCATCTTTTTTTCTCTCTCAGGATACATAGGTACGGCAACTTAGCTATAGATATTTAAATGAAGCCGCTGATGAGCGTCATTCTCGCTAAATAGCCTTTAACCCGTACATAAATCAAGTAATTAAATTTGAAACCCCCTTTTTGTCACATTGCTTGATTTACTTAATACTTATAATTTCTAAATCTTCACAGTCGAGACTGATCCAGTCATGTCGGAATCTCTCTAGAGCAGCTTCTCCTACGGGTCAGAGCACTTGAATTATATGTTATCCAGGCTATTTTGAGTGAATACCAATCCGCTCTACACCACGTCTCCTAAAACATTTAAAGGACCACCCCGAAAATCTCAGACGAGGCACTTAATTTATAGACAAACGTATTCAGACTATTGCCTACTTTAGCATGTGGAAAGACGAGCGAGTAAACACGAGACACACATTTTATGCTGATTATTCTATTATTGTTCTCGACTGCTTATATAAAATTATCTTTATGAAGCGCCTGTTGTGGATAGCGTTGCATGAGCATTTCAGATTCACAGCTTTGACTATACTGTCTTGATGTGCTTCATCCGTCTGGTTGCTGTATATTGCCTTCTGGCAGCTTCAGCTCTTCAAGTGTGGGAAAACGTCGCTAACAGAAATGAATAGCTTTTCTGTGATCTGTTTTAATACATCCCAGGTTTCCTATAATAACGGGCCAAGAGGTACTACAGCGTAGGAGATATCAGATAAAAAGAAAATATTTCTAAAATGTACAACAAAACATGTTAAAAGTTTAGGCAATTTAAATACCAAGTACTTGTTTATAAAGGGGGTGAAGAATGAAGACTCATTAGCGGCTCCCAATTATTAAATTACATTAATTGGCGTTTTTTTGGTAAATGCATGTTCCTTTTTTTATTCATACGCGAATTTTAAATTTCTTTGAGCCATTTTGCAGGGCGTGCATAAGTCTCATTTTATCGATCACTTGCAATCCAAAACCGAGAGTTATGCTTTGTTCAATTATCCTGCCTTCAAGTCAATCAGACGATAGACATAAGGATCTTGTAACACTAAAACAGTGTGAGGGTGCAATCTATTAACCAAACACAGTCAATCACGAGCCAAACGCACCGATTTCTCTAAAATGAAGTTCCTAAAATGGTCTATATCGTATTTATTATCCCTGTGCAGGTCATCCACCAAGCACAAAAATCTGTCATCTCAATATCGACAGGCGAGTAATTGCCAAACACACATTTAAGTACATATTTATTATTACCTCGAGGCAAGCGACAACCATTCGTTAAATTATGTGCACTTACCTAACCAAAACAACTATTTACTCGAACCTTACAGCATCTAACTTATTCACTGGGGGGATCCAGGTGATGCCCTGCGCTAGTGGTCCATTGTTGTTTTGTTCTACCAACTTACCAATTAAAGCAAAACTATGAAAATAGCACGAGCACGCATCGATTATGCATGTCAATACAGCACTACTTATCGAGATGAGGGATTACCTGTGTTACGGAGCTTTATATCTATGTTATGATGCCACGTTCCGCTCAAAACATGGTGGTTATCAGGAAGGAAGGGATATTACTTTTAGGGAATTTCTAAATGTATACCCCTTCTTCTTAAAATCACACCCTTTCTTCAAAATCCTTTATATGCAAGGTACGCAATCGCCGTTGGACAGAAACGAGTAATATCGCTGCCACTTGGCTACTTGCGACATCTTGCGCGCTGCTGTAGCTGCTGGCACCAACATAGGAATAAAGATCAAAGCCACGATGGAATCGGGCGCACTTGTGACCGACGAGATTGTCGTCGGTATCATTAAGGACGCCATCATGAGTTCGGAATGCCGTCGTGGCTTTAAGCTTAACGACTTTTCACGAACGGTCATGCAGGCCAAAAAGGTGAGAACAAGAGAAGATACAGTCGAGTGTCCAGAAAAAAAGGGCTATTGAAGCTTGCCTTACCAACAATGTGAAGCAAGGGGAGTTGGTACTTGTTTGTCTTGTATGTGCAGTCCATAAGCACGACATGATGGTATCGGCAAGCAAGCCGAATACTTTCTTTGTGAGCGAAAAAAAGGGAGGTTATTGCTTCATCGTCATCACATCTGTGGAAGTGCGTAAAATTTCTTGCTTGCAAATCATCAAAAAGAGCTTGTATCGGTGTCCTTCCATTTAATTTGTCCTTTCGAAGTTCCGTGCGCTCAATTGTACAATATAGAGAGGTCTTTCAGGGCACTGAATTAATTGTATAAAAGATTTTAAAGGAAGGGTGTGAATCTAAGGAAAAAGGGATGTGAATTCAGCAATTGCCCACTTTTAATATCATACAGAAATAGATTTTGGACTAAAAATGAATCGAGAATTTAAAAATTATAACTAGAAATAGTTTTTAGGAATATCTGTATTTAAATAAACGAAAATGATAAGGTAAGATCAGATTATCTCTCAATCTCTCTTTCCCTACTTTCGTGCTCACCCCTTTAATTCTACAAAGAACATATCAAATGATAATTAAATTGTTCATGTCTTAACGGACTGTGTTAGGACTCATAATGACTACGTAACATTCCTTGGACCCTAATGTTATTGATCAAAAAAGCCGAACACAGCAAATAAACGGAATTTGTGGCGAGCAGATTTAAACAAGATGTTTATACATTTAGGCGTAGCAAAAAATTCTTTATAGAAGTTAAAAAATACAGTTAAACTTTACCATCATCTCGTATTAAAACCCCAACTCCTTTCTGCACGATAATGGTACGTAAGCCTTTAACGCACCTACTTGCTCTCGCTTTAGAGTAAGTAGCTTGTACCGTGATATAAAAAGCAATTAGTCTCTCCATCACACTTGATGGCAATTTATAGTCCGTCCAACGAATATGAGCATGTTGGATGGTGAAGCGAGAAAACATCATCTAACGCACGAGCGCAGGCTCATTCGAGCTGAATCAAATAGCGTAACTTCGACCGATTAAGCGCGGTAGTTAGGCAAGAAGCCGTAGGTGCAATGCCTTCCGCTCTGGTTCCAGACAAGCAACACGCCACCATCGACAAGTTCATTCACAATGTACTTAATGCTTAGCGAAAAAAAGTAGCGTTGCTTCACCAACAAGGGCTTCAAAAAACAAAGCTGTTCAGCAAACAGAGTGCTTAACCGTTCGAGTTGTTTATACAGCAGCAGGCTGCTGCTACCGGGTAGACAAACACACGTCGACTCAGATCGATATATATTGACTTCTACTGGTACAAAAGAGCTATTTAAAACTCTCTATTGAGATGGTTGGTCGAACTGGATGACACCGTTAGGGCTTGTCACATCCTCGATGACTAAATTCATCTCACCTTTGCTTGATCCAAATTGGCAGGTCGTGCGAAGACTTGGGCCTTGAGCCTCAAGCTTTACGACCCATGTATCATATTGGGTCTGTAAAGGCTTCTAGGCCGTGCTTGACCGCCATGAGCTGAGTCCTGGGCTCGCTTTGAACTCTTGAACCTCATACAAGGCAAACGCGATTTACGCTCGTACATTAAGTATATAGTTTCGCTTGCGAATTGCATCACGTCCAGTCCGTCGAGTGAACATACGCTGATCAAGTTGTTCATGCGAGGTCTTACAGACAGTCCAGTCAGGTCGTATGTCTTCCAATTGCAATTTAATGCCCTGTAAAAGGCAATCCACTTTGCACATCAAGATGATTTTAGCGTAGAATTAAATCACGTGAGTCGATTTCCCATCGTTATTTGAGGCGACAGA